CAGTGTTGCCAGATCTTCTGGATTTTCCAGAAAAATTCTGGATTTTGAACGTTTTTCTGGATTTTTTCCGGCTTCCGGATTTTTTCTGGATTTTGAAGGTTTTTCTGGATTTTTCCGGACTTTGGATATTTTCTATGTACCTAAATTATATTTTATTTATTGGTTTACATTCTAAACAAGTTACTACTAATTCTATAGAGATTTATAACAGAGACCGAAAACGAGTCAAGCCAGACTCACTCCTGAACAGAGTTTGACTCTAGGAGCTCGACTTTTTTGAAAATTTCCACTGACTCTTTCACTTGTTTCTTGGCATTAGACGGTATCATTGTTTTGTGAACTGTTAAAGTACAATATTAACTCATTGAAATGAATTAGCCGAACAAAACAATACAATGAACAAAGCATCATGAACTGATGGCATTGAATAGACTAAAATGAATGACATACACTGACTTTCATTGTATTCAATGTATCATTGTCAATTGAGAAATTAATTAGACCGCGATGCATCGATCACGAGCGTATATAAGTAATCAATGCACACAACGTGTGACTGAATTGTTCTGACTCTTTTCAACTTCATATTTGTTCGGTGATCAACCATCTTCTGTTAGAAATTTCACCTATTATTTTTTCGAGTATGTCGATCGATTTAACTTTAATTCAGTGCAGTTGGGCAGATTGAGACTCAGAGGCGCTCAAATCTTGATCCTTCGACGGTGAATAATTTGATTTTCTTGCGTTCCATTTAGAACGACAAGTGATTAATCTAGTTTAAAATTTTTTTTCTCTTGACACATTCTTGTCAAGTTTGTCAATTTTGTCACTTATTCTTATTATCAAATAAAATATGATTTCGAAAATTTGTTGTTTAAATCGATACTCGGAGACTTGAATCGAGTCGAGTTGGATGCTTTTTGACTCGCTTTGGTCTAAGGTTTATAATGTTACCTTCTATTGATCTACCTGAGAAGCTAATAGAATTTTTTTTAAGGAAAATAAAAAAACGATCATCTGTATTGTGGACTTATTTTTCTCTTATACTTTCAGAATGTTTGATGAGAACGAAGAAGTACATGTTCTAGTAGAAAATGAATTATCACCAAAAGAACAGCAAGCACAAACATCAACTGAACATAAATTAAAACAAGCAAATACTCAAGAGAAAAAAAAAGGAGTATTCAGATCCGAATGGTTAAATGAATTTAAATTTTTAAAAGAATATAAAGCAGATAAAAGTAAAGTAACATGCATGGCATGTAACACCCAATTTAATGTTCATTATGGTGGAAAAAGTGATGTTATTCAGCATTCAAAGTCTAAACAACATTCTAAAAACATGTTAACATTCAATATTGATCGCCAACTAATTACCACAGCAATTAAACCAACTCGTGAGAAAGACGAGATAGCTGCTGCCGAAGCTACAATAGTATACCATAGTGTTCGGCATGGAATTTCATATTTAGCTCAACAATGCACAACTGATGTTTTAAAAACTTTGTTTGCTTCATCATCTATTGCTAAATCTTTATCATGTGGAAAAACAAAAGCTGCAGCAATAGCAACAAATGTTTTAGCACCTTACTTTACACATATTGTTGTGGAAGAAATCAAACTAGCTTTTCATTACTCTCTTGCATTTGATGCTAGTAATAAAGGCAATTTAAAGACTTTTCCATTTTGTATTCAGTATTTTTCAGATATAGGTGTCAAAAAAGGTAATGATACAAAATTTTAATCTGTTCTAATATACCAGTTCACATTCTTTTCCAGTTATCTTAGATTTCATCGATGATTCAAGTGAATCAGCAGTTGATATACATCGAAATGCTCGTCAAATATTAAACAAGTATGGATTAAGTATAGATGGTTTAACAGCAATAGGTGCTGACAATACAAATGTCAATGTGGGAGAGAACCATAGTGTGTTTTCATTGTTTCGTGATGAAAAACCGAATGTGATCAAAGGTAATTGTAATATGATATCTTCATTTTCCCTCATCTAACCTACTCTGATTAGGATTTAACAAAAATGAAGGAATAAGTTATATTGAATGAAATCTTGTACTCTGACAGGATGACCTTCGTTTCTTCTTGTTGTATTTTAGGTTCGTGTTATAATCATATTTTACATAATAGTGTGAAATATTCACATAAAGTATTACCTATTGATGTTGAAAAAAATTTATTGACTATTTATACTCACTTTTCTCGATCAGCTAAAAGAATAGCTGAACTTAAATCGTATTATGAATTTTATGAACAAGATTACATGGTAACAAAATTTACCTTTCTACCGCTACAATAATATTGCTAGACTATTTTTTTATTTGTACGTGTTTAGGTGATCCTGAAACATATAAAATTACGTTGGTTAACATTATATACATCAATAGAGAGATTATTGCAAGTCTTTACACCTATCAAAAATTACTTTTTATCTCTTGATGATGATTGTCCTAAAGAACTTCAAGAATTTTTTTCATCTGAAGAAGGACACTGTGTTCTTAGTTTTTTAGAATATATTCTCCATATTATTCAAAAATCAAATTTAAAATTACAAAGGCAATATTTGTCTGCTGTTAGTTTACATCAAATTATAACAGATTTAAAAATCAATTTGCAACAGAGATTAATTTCGTCGTTTTATGGTACAAGTTGTCGATTAAAATTATCTCGATTAGAACCAAATGTAGCTGATAAATTAAAAATTTCATTTGCCCGATTCATCGAACGAGTTATTGAATATATTGATGAATATTATTTGTTGAAAAAAAAGACAAACATGGAAAAGTAATTGAACCTAAATATCTTCCACCAGCATTCATGTATGAAGCTATAAGACCATTTGGTTTATCAACTGTTAATGATATTACATGGGATCAAATCACAAAATGTATTGAATTATTTCATATGGAAAATATAAATGAAAATGATTTGTTTCATGAATTTAGCGAAATTCAAATAATATTTAAAGCTATACAAGATAAGAACATTTCTCTATATGATCAAGTTCAATTATATATTAGTAATAAAACCAATGCAAACATAACAACAGCTTCTTCTAGAAAATTCTTTTCAGACAAAGAAGTTGAAGAAGAACAACCAGATAATGATGATGATGATGATTCAACGGAAGAAAATGGTGAAAAAAAAGAAATACGACCTGATCAACTATGGGCAATGCTTTTATCTGTTAAACCCATACCATCTCCTAATCTACACAAGTTCATTTCTTTTTTATTCTCAATTCCTTGCAGTAATGCATATGTCGAAAGTGTTTTCTCGATAATGAAACATTTATTTGATGACAAACGAAATCGTATGTCAACAGAACTCATTGCAGCTGAATTAAAAATTCGTTTAAATTCGTCATTATCGTGTACAAAAATTTATGACTTTCTCTTGTCAAAACCAGAATTATTGAAACTTATCCATTCGAACGAAAAGTATTGTACGAAAAAACAACGTGTAAATTAAAAACAAAATGTGTAATTGATATGTTCTTGAAACTTAGTTAATTATGTTTTGATATGTAGTTTTGTTTATTTAAATATATTTTGTAGATATAAAGAATACAGTTATTTCTAATGTGTTCGAGTAAAACGTACTACAAATAGTT